ATATGCCAGGTGGGGCTCCATCAGTAGCACTGCCTGACAGAGATGCCGTACAAGATCTTGCTAAGGGCACCCAGGAAACACCCTCACCACCCAGTATTTCCACTAGACCTGTCACTAAAATTAAGTCTCAGAAAGCTCCTAAAGGTGAGGTTGAGATGATGACCCAAGAAGAAGCATGCAATACTCATAAAGACCTGCTCGAGTTTTCAAATATGTACAAGCAGAAGCCTGGGGAATATCCCTGGGAGTGGTTACTAAGGGTGTGGGATACTGGTGCACGAAATATAATTATTAGACCGGTCTGAGTTTCTGGATATGGGACCCCTAAGCATTGACTCTTCTTTCAGTGTCTCTGCGAGAGAGGTTAAGAGAGGATCTAATTCTTTATTTGGTTGGTTTAATGAAGCATAGACTGCCAGATGGCCTAAACTGGACCAACTTGAAGTACCTGACCTACCTTGGTACACTGTAGAGGAAGGCATCCAAAAGCTTAGAGAAATTGGTATGTTGGAATGGATCTATCAGGATATTCCCATAGACCCCAAAAGAGGGTGTCCTGAGGGCATACCCTTTACCACAACCATAAGGAACAAGTTTGTGAAGTGGGCCCCAGTATCTCTTAAATCTCCTGTAATTGCTATTTTATGTGCACCAGGATTAACAGTGGGCACTGCCCTAAGCGAACTCCGACATTTGCCCACAATGGGGCTGATTGGTCCCCGTGGTGGTAGAGGGCAGGTGTCAGCACTGAATCAACAGAGACAGGATGAGCATGGTTATAATAGACAACAAGGTTTCAGTAGTACTCAAAGCAACCTGTCTCGTGTGGAATTATGGCATTGGCTACTTAGCCACGGTGTCCCTAGGAATGAAATAGATGGGAAACCTACTAAATATTTACGTGATCTATATAGGCGGAAGAATGGTAGATCAGGTGAACAGCAGAATAGACAGTCACAATCAGTCAATCAATTCCCAGACCTGAGCCAGTTTACAGACCCACAAACCCTTGAATGAGGGGGAGGCTGGGTCCCTTTGAAGGAGGACCCTGCTACATCAGCGAAGGTCTATACTGTTAGTCTTTTTTCTAGCCTTCCCCCAAAGGGACCTGCAGCCTTTCACAAGAGTAACTGTTCATTGGGGGAAAGGAAATAATCAAATTTGTCAGGGATTACTCGACACTGGCTCGGAACTAACACTAGTTCCAGGAGACCCAAAGTGTTTCGAAGGCCCACCGGTCAGAGTGGGGGCTTATGGAGGTCAAGTTATCAATGGAGGTTTAGCTCAGGTACGTCTCACTGTGGGTCCAGTGGGCCCCCGGACCCATCCTGTGGTTATTTCCCCAGTTCTAGAATGCATCATTGAAATAGACATACTTAGTAACTGGCAGAACCCCCATGCTTCAAGACAAAATTTCATTTATTTGTAATTAGAAATATATATTTCACAATATATAATTACATACTGCTTTTTGTGATTAATCGCTAAGCTTTAATGATGTTCAATTTGTAACAATGAAAATATATCCTGCATATCGGATATTTTCATGAGGATTCATAACAGTATCAAAATGACGGTTATGAAATAGCAACGGCAATAACTGTACGGTTGGGGGTGACCACAACATGAGAAACTGTATGAAAGGGCCACGGCACTAGGAAGGAAGGTTGAGAACCACTGCTCTGGGGCCTTGAGAGCAGAAGAGTTAGATGGTGTCTGGCTGACACTGTTGACCACTCTGAAAGGGATCACAGCAAGAGGTCCTAGATAGAGGGGGAGAAAAATGCGGAACAAAACTCAAAATTCTCAAAACACTAAGGCTCCTGGATTGATAGAAGCCATAGAACCACAATACCCTTTATGCCTGCTACTGAATTCATCCCTAAAGCTCAATTTTTAGCCAAACCATAGACAGGCCTCACTGCCATGCAGTATATTCTAACTCATAGTACCTTACGGTACAGAGCAGAACAGCCCCACTGAGACAAAAACTTAAAACATAAAAAGAAAAAAAGACTTAAAACATTTACAGGAGGAGAGCCCATGGAACAGCTGATGGAATTAGGACAAAGATGAGGCTTTCTTTCTACACCTGCAAAGAGCTTACAGTCTCAGAAACCCACACAGTTATTTCATCCGATCCTAGAGAGTCACTAAGAGTTGAAATGACTCTCCAGCAGTGAGGGACAGATGGAGAGTTAATGCTTGAAGGGGCACTGAACTTCTGATAAGGATAATGAAAACAATTAGAAACGACAGTAGTGATGGCTACACAACATGGTGAATGCTAATTAATGTCACTGAGTTGGTATCAGCTCATTTTTCCCCTCCCTCCCCACCGCCGCTCCCTTGAGAACCCTTGATAATTTATAAATTATTATTATTTTGTCATGTCTTACACTGTCCGATGTCTCCCTTCACCCACTTTTCGGTTGTCCCTCCCCCATGGAGGGGGTTATATGTAGATCCTCATGATTGGTTCCCCTTTTCTAACCCACCTTCCCCTTACCCTCCTGGTATCGCTACTGTCAGCATTGGTCTTGAGGGATTTATCTCACAATAAAAAAATTTTAAGGAAAAGATATGAACAGATAATTCATAAAATGAAATGTCTATGATGCTTAGAAAGATGCACAATTCAAATCATTAGGAGAAAAAAATCAGTTACCATTTTTCATCTACCAAATTAGCCAAAATTAGAGTATTTGGCAATATATTATGTTTAAGAGGTTAGGAAACAGCTATCAACACATATTGCTAATGGTAATATAAATGGTACCAGACACAAAGAACGTGGCACTATTAACCAAAATGACATGTACATTTTCCCAATGACTCAGCAATCCCACATCTAGAAATTTATCCTAAACATATACTGACAGCGATATGAAATGGTACATTGCTTAATTATGGCTGTATTTGTAGTGGCACGAGACTGAAAACAACTCAAATAGTCATTACCGGCGAACAACAAGCTGTAAGCAAGCAATGGTTTGACTGCCCATCCAGTGGATTCTTGTAACAGTAAGAATACTAAGAAGATGTGATCTCCAGACATGAACACGGTGAAGTGCAGCACAGAGTAGCAGCACGTTACCTGCTAAATGAGGAGGGGGGAATGTAACTGCACACACATGCATGCATTTGCTTATATTCCTCAAAAGGACCAGTGAAAGGACAAATCCCAAACTATAAAAAATGGGAAGGAAGAGAACAGGGAAGGGGGACATGGATTCTCCAAATGTATCTTGTTAAGTAAGATTTTGGATCAGATAAATGTTTTTCCTAAGTTAAATTACAAGGAAAAGAGTAATCTCTAATAATTAAACATTACTACAAATTAACCTAACTGTATTAAGTTATTAACATAAACTCCTAAAGAAGAGTTTTAAATAATTTTAAAATACAAAAATTTCACCATTTACTGTTAATGAGATGTATTCGAAGAATAAAAACAAATACACAGAAATAGAATTAGTATTTAGGGTTACCTAAATTAGGAACAAAGATTTTCAGCTTCAAAGAAAAGAAAAATCTACAATCTTACATTTCAATTGAACTGTCAGTCCAGACTCAAAATACAGTAAATATTAGTCTACAAGATATGCAGTTATAGAAGAAACAAGCTAAAGAGGTAGGAGATGCAGCAATTAGCCAGGATCAGATGCAAACATGCTTGGAGGAAAAGGGGGGGTGGAGGGTTAGGGATGGTTACAGGGAAGTAACTCCAAAACATGCAACAAGATATAAAAAGCAAGGTGTCGGGCTACTGTCTTTGGTGTTACAACGTGACGACAAATAATAAAGAAGCACATTACAAAGCTTAAAGGGTACTTTGTATTTATTCTGAGTGCTAAAGGACACATTCAGAGCAAACCACTAGTTATTTCAGTTCTTTAACAAAGAAAAATAAGTATTTTTTGAAACTTGACCACAAGCTTCAATAATCTAAAAGGGAAGATTCCAGAACACAAATACTTTATTACTCAATAAGAGCTAGCACAGGAAGCCATACTACATGTACACACTTTACACAGTCTTAAATCAATGAATCGACCAAACCCTCTGGCAGACGCATTCCATTATTTCATTTTACAAATGAGAATTGGTGGGACAGGATTTGCTCAAGGTCCTATAATTAAGATTTCAGGTAACTAGCTGCCTCTAGAGCCTAACTCAAGAGTATGTCTCTCGCCTTACTTAGCAGTGAAAGGGGGACAACAAAATGGGGAAATGGCACAGGCTAACTAGAGTCTAGTGAACTGGAATGACAAAACTCTTATTTCTTTCTGTGAAGTTGGTTGTGAGGGTACCCTACAGCAGCCCTCTCCTCATGAACATCTCCACACCTCCCACTTTCAAAGAGGTACCACTGGAGCCAAGCAAAAACAATTTCTGATCCTTGAGTATACTAGAGGTCAAATCCAATTACAACAAATTCTAATGCTATGAAAAATGTGTCAACACTGTTTATCCATCCAATATTTTACCTATTTATTTTAACTCTCTAACTCCAGTATGCTTGGTATGATATGTATAGCTGGTGGTGCAATGGTGCAGTTTGGGGAACACTTAAAATGGAAGTCTTTGTAACTTCACCAAATGACTAGGTAGGACTATGCAAAAGTGGAGTTTTTGGGTCCCCTTAAGAGGACTGGATGGTTTGCTGATAATGTAAGTACATGACACCTTTGGGTGGCACCACATAAACAGGGTATATGGAACTCTGACATGAGTGTTGGTCAGTTCTGCCATCTAGATAGGTTTAAAATGGGTCATATCTGGGAAACGGAAAGGTGGAACTCAATCCCATCAAGAAAGAAGAATTAGGAGTCATTTTCTTTCGATTCTGAGATATTCCAAATAAACCACGTGGAGCCCAGAGACAGACAGCTGTGACATGAGAGGCATGGCAAAAATGCAGGGGTGGGGGGGTGGGGGTGTACAAAGGCCATGAAGCAGAACCAAGCATTCGACAGAGAGGTGGACTTCCCAACCCATGGAGCAAGAAATCTGAGCCCCTTTGGCTGAGATTTACTGGTGGAATGGGTTTTTAATCAACAGAGCTACACTTGCCCAGATGGGGCAAATCAAGGAACCACTCACTGGGCTGTCAGGCCAGGGTGTGCCCGCAAGCATGCTTAAAAGAATGCTGCCCTGACCAACTAACTGACCAAAGAGAGCTGTACCCTAAGTGGTCGTGATCCTGAATTGCAACTATTTATCCAATAAAGCCAATAATGAAGAGTATGACCTGTGAATTGTGTGGCCACTGCAACAAATTAACAAAATCAACAAAGAAGAATGTGCTATGGGAAAGACAGCTGGTGTTAAACTGGTAAAAAAGCAACATTGGAAGGCCTGTCTGACCTCTGCATATAGTAAGGTGACCAGATGTCCCGCTTTTGGCGGGACAGTCTCGATTTTTAACAATTTTTCCTGCATCCCGCAGCATTTTTTAAAAGTCTCGATTTTTGGAAAGAATGCATGACAAGCTAGGGTATACGGTTTTCGGCTGCCATGTGGCTATTTCGCCAGGATATGAGTTTTATCAATGGTGTCCCGCTTTACTAATGTTAAAATCTGGTCACCTTACCTTATAGGAAATACCCCAGTAGCAACAGAAATCCCAGTATATAACGGGCAGGTTTTGGAAACTCTCTGAAACTTACTGACTTACCCTCACTGGCATTTTCTTTCAGCTGTTCTTCATATTCCTGCATTGCTGATGCACAGCTGTTGTGAATCAGTTCACCCAGGCGTTTCAGATCTGCCACGGACTTATCTACTAACTCCGCATCCCGAGCTATGCACTCCAGCCTGAAAAAGGATAAATATCGGGATACTTCAAGGTCCTTGCCCATGTTTCTAATGTCACATAAATCAGTAGGTCTCACATGAGGGTGCTTTTCCCTACTTACCTTTGTTGGCTATTCTAAGGCAAGTGTCTAGATATCTGACAGATAAAATATTCCAGACAGACTAATCTATACCCTGTTCGTTTAACTTGCTCAAAGACAGACATTTTTCCTCTGTGTAATAAGCAACTGGACCAGAAAATTGAACCTCACTTTCTGGGTTTCATCATTTCCTCTCCAAATGCAGAGGGAAAAACAAAACATCTAGGGTTGGAATTTTCACCCACTCCAGAAGTTTATTAGGAGTAGAAGAAAAGAAACTATTTCCTTTAAATCAGTATTAATATGTAGATATGGAATTGTTTAATTAATTTCCCGTATACTTCCAGAATACAAACAACACTTAACCCTTTTGGAAGTTATTATTGGCAAGGTATTATAAGCTCTTTGTGCTTAAACCTGACAACAATCCTATTAAGATGGAGATGATTACAACATCACAAAACACCTTTTACTTTTAATATTACAAATTCTACAAACTAGGTTAGAAGGAATAAATGCAAGTTATCCTCAGCAGGAGGCATCACAACATCACTGTTGGCTGTATTTCTTTGTACTACAATGATGAATGTGATTGCTTCCTCTTTCTCCCAACAGGTAAGGTCTGTGTAAGAATGATCTCATTTGACCATCTGTCACCTTCTCCAGAGCCTCACACAGGGACTTGTAAACACAGCACCCAGTTAATGATTTGTGTTTAAAAAAAAAAAGGCTCGAATATTACTGTTAAATAGAAAATATTTTTCTAAAAAGTTCTACTACATAAATAAAACTGAAAGAGATTCATAAGAAACTAATGAGCATAATTACCGTTCAAGAGGGAGACCAAACTTCTTATAAGCCTTGATGAATCTAAAAATATGATTAAGAAAAAAGAATGCATTAAAAAAGAGAGTGAGACTTTAGTTATATTAATAACTACGTTTCAACATATCCTGTGGTAGTATATGAGTCATATAAACTGTCAAAAATAAATTAGGCATAATTTTTCCAATGTTACAAACTAACAATTAAATATCTTTGAAAGTAGTATCGACATCAAATAATGAGCACTAAAAACAAACTTAAAATTGAGATTAAATTCATCCTTAGAGACTGCACGTAACTGCTTAGAGACAAAATCAACAACTGTGTCTTTGAATTCCACTACCCGTTTTCAAATGTACATGCTTATAGCTTTCCTTCTCTCGAGACGGCAGTCTAGCACATTAGAAATGGAAGCAGGAAACAAAAGGAGCGGGTGAGATAAGTGATGGTAGAGGGGTTGCAATGGGGGAGTTGAACAAAACATGTATGAACTGTGGGATGCAGAACTGGTCATCTGCTCTGTAAACCTTCATACAATCCACAGATTAGGAAGAAAGTAAGTACAAATTTAGCAAAAATATGTTGTATTAAGCAGACGGGCCACCAGATGAAACAGACATGGATGGATGATCCTGGAAGCCTGAGAAGCAGACTGAATGCCAAGTACTGAAGAAAAATGGGTACAGGGACACAAAGCAACCATGCATTGCCAGCTACCCTAACACAGCGTAGCCACTCTGAACTGCTGCAAGCAGCACTCTACTCAGAACAGCAACTTTTTAACATGAGCCGGTAGCTGACCAGTAAGAACAATGAAATACTCCTTGTCCTCCACACTCTCCTCTTCTGGAATTGATTTTCTATCCAAATCATCAACCACGTTGACACTTTCTGGATTGGCCCGAGCCTCTACTATATTGAAACTGACTTTATGTCCCTTCAACAGTGGTGCAAATGCTACTTTTATGCTTACTGAAAAGCAAAATGCTCAAAGGAGAAAGTCCAGGAACATATGCTATTTCACCAACTTTTCTTTCCATTATCATAGTCCTTGATCATCTTCCATCTTCATATCCATGTTTATAGAGCCTTCCTTGCCTTCGTTTCTGGATTGGAGCATTCAGTATCAAAGACCTCTTTTGATATCATTGAGGGGATAAGTAGTAACAAAAATCTCAAAAGTCATCTCGAGAAGATAAAGCGTTATGATGAAATGCAGTCTTGGATTCAGAACACTAAAAGAGAAGCACACACTCAGCATATATCAAGCTCAAAAGAACTGAAGAAAAATGTCAAGCCTTGAGTTGTAATATTGAAGGATTCTATAGGCAAAATATACACAAAAAAATAAGAAAGGATAAAAGGAATACCGATTCACTGTACTAAAAAGTACTAGTCAACATTCAACCATTTCATGAGGTAGCATATGATCATGGACAAAGCATAATGAAGGAAGAAGTCCAAGAAAGCATGAAGGGGAGGCGGGGGAGGAGCCTCCAGGTTAGTAAATAAAATGTTCCAAGGTGCTGATGAAGCACTGTAAGTACTCACTTGTCTATGCCAAGAAATTTGGAAGATAGCTACCTGGTGAACCAAATCAAACAGCTTATATATTTGTGCCCATGGTAAAGAAAGGTAGACTGTAGAAATTATCAAGTAACGTCATTAATATCTATCTGATTCAAATATAATTTTGCTGAAGATCATTCAACATGGTTGTAGCAGTGTATCAACAGGGAGCTGCCAGACTGAAACCAGATTCAGAAAAGACCATGAAACAAAGCCGCTATCATTGCTGACATCGGACGGATCAGGGCTGACAAGAGAAAACCAGAGTGATGGCTGTGTTTTAGTGACTGTGCAAAGGAATTTGACTGTGAATCCTAACAAACTACGGATTGCATTGAGAAGAAGGGGAATTCCAAACACTTCACTGTGCTCAGGCAGAGCATGCACCTAGACTAAGAATCAGTTGTGTGAACAGAACGAGGAAAGGACTGCCTGGTTTAAATTCAAGCAAGATGTGGGTCAGAATGTCCCTTAGAAGCCCAGACAGTGCGGCTTCATCTCACGTACTTTGGACATGTATCAAAAGAGGAAAAGGACATGATGCTTGGTGGAAAAGGACATCATGCTTGGTGAAGTAAAAGGTCAGCAAAAAAGGGGAAGACCCTCAAGGAGACGTACTGATACAATGGCTGCAACATGGGCTCAAACGTAACAATTCTGAGGAAGGTATAGGACGGGGCAGTATTTTGCGGTGTTGTACATAAGGTCCCTATGAGTCAGAGCCAACTCATGGGCACCTAACAACAAACAGTGCAGGTGTTCCAGTTAGGAGGAACTTGAACAACTCTACCACACATCATTAACTGATGCATTTTTTTCAGTACAAAACATTGAAGAGGATCAGGTCACATCAGTGAAGTCATACTTTTAATGGCTGTTGTGAAAATATGTGCAGTTTAATTATCATGTTTAGTGTTGAACATTGCCCAACTTTTTTTTTTATGACTCCCAACCTTGACAATGATTATATTATACGATAGGCTACACCAAACCACACTCACAGCCATTAATCAAGTCAATGCTGACTCATAGAGGCCATAACTATTTCTGGGAGTAGAAAGTCGTGTTTCTCCCGAGAAGCTGCTGGTGGTTTTGAACTGTGGACCATGAGGATGGCAGCCCAATTCATAACCACTTGCCACAAAATACTGTATTTAAGTCAATCAAGTGAGTATCTGTGAGTGAACATCTGAGAATAACATCAGCTAATTAATTATGTGCTGCAACACTGTATGTATTCAAGAGCCATGGTGGCGTAGTGGTTACACACTGGGGTGTTTACCACTAGATCAGCAGTTTGAAACCACCAGACCCCCCTTGGGAGAAAGACGGGGCTTTCAACTCCAGTAAAGAGTTAGCCTTGGCATTCTGTGATGCTCACCTTCCCGACATGATCGCAGTAGACAAAACAAGTACATAAGCAAATGTGGTGAAGAAAGCTGATGGGGCCCAGCTATCAAAAGATATCGCACCTGGGATCTTAAAGGCTTGAAGATAAACAAGCGGACATTTAGCTCAGAAGCAACAAAGCCCACATGGAAGAAGCACACCAACCTGTGTGATCATGAGGTGTTGATGGGATCAGGTATCAGGCATCTAAGACTCAGAATAAAAACCATACCCAAGGTGAATGGGGGGGGGGGCATGAAATGGAGACCCAATGCCATGTAGACAATTGGACATCCCCTCACAGAGGGGTCACAGGGAAGAGATGAGCAGTCAGGGTTCAGTATATCACCGATCAAACACACAACTTTCCTCTAGTTGTCTGGTGTTTCCTTCACCCCACTATCATGACCTCATTTCTAACTTACAAATTGGATTAGACCAGAGCATGCACACTGCTACACATAAGAGCCCACAACACAGGGAATCCAGGGGCAACAAGGAGAATAGAAATACCAGGAGGATTAGAGGAGGGTGGGGGTGGGGGAAAAGGGGAATCAATCACAAGATTCAATCTAGAACCCCCTCCCGGAAGGACGAATAACGGAAAAGTGGGTGAGGGGCGATAGAGGACGATGTAGGATATGGAAAAAATAATCTATAATTTATCAAGCGTTCATAAGGGAGGACGGGCAGGGGAGGGAGGAGGAAGAAATGGAGAGCTGTGATCAGGGGCTCAAGAGGGAAGAGAATGCTTTGAAAATGATGGTGGCGACACTTGTGCAAATGTGCTTGACACAATGGAGGAATGTATGGATTGTGATGAGAGATGTAAGAGCCCCCAATAAAAGTATTAAAAAAAAATAAGAGTCAGCCCTGGAAATTCCATCTGTCCTGTAGGGTAGTTCCATCTGTCCTGTAGGGTTGCTATGAGTTGGAATCAACTCACTGGCAGTCGGATTCATTTTTGGAACAATAAGATGTACAAAAATAAACAAATCAACAAAAAGCACGCATACTGATGATGGTCACAAATACTGCCTGCTGTAACTGGAACATGTTTAATTCAGGAACTAACTGTAATGTCCAGTTGGGTTTTACCCCCATGGCTAATCATTCTTTGTGAAAATGTTCTGACTTACCAGAGGATAAAAGGGGAACAAGAAGGCTAGAGAAAAATGATCTGAATGGAGGGAAACCCTGGAGATTTTGGAGAAGCCTCAGCTCCTCTCCTTGTCTTGTAGGTATTAGCCTATCTATGGTGTCAAAACAAGGGATCCAACAAGAAGCTCCAGTGAGGAGAGCCTCTGCCACAAACCTCCGAATTTCTGCATCAGTGAATCCCTCCACAAGGTCCTTGCGCACGCTCCTGGGGCGCCCTCTGCGCTTTGGCTTCTTGTCATCATCGGAGTCATCCGTTTCACTTTCAGAGGCAGAGGACCTCTGGGCCTGCCTCTTAGATTCAGTGTCAGAATCACTGTCGTTCGTTTGGGCCTGAAAGTGGTAGGAAAAGCACCCTGTCAAGTTCAGAACCATTTCGGCCATTTCACAAAGACCAAACGTCTGATCTGCACTTTCCCATTCTCCTGTGCTCAGCGTCCCGTCAAGTAACTCTAGCCTAAGTAATATCTAACCCTCTTCCTTAGATAGTCTTTCCACGTCTGTGCTCTCATTAGTCACCTTCTTGGTGGAACTCCGAATCCGAGGCAGCATGTAAATTTCTTCCAGCTCCTTCTGCCGCTCCTCCTCCTCCACTTTTTTCCGCTGCTCTTCTGGAATGATCTCATCCCAGTCCTTGTGGGGACGCTCTTCCAGCTCTTCCTCATCTTCCATTGTAGCAAAGTTGGCCACCTTAAACAGATGAAGACCATGTCTTCATTTCTGAACACACCGCCGACAAAACACGTTTTGTCTCGGTGCGAATCGTAAGATGGTTTGAATATTAATAGGACTCCATTAACATAAGCATATACATTACTTTTCCATTACTCTCCTCTATTGTGCCCCTCAGAAATGTTTGGAGAGAAAGTGGATAAACAGAGACAAGGATATTATTTATCTCAATTTTACTATTAGATGACATGTACTTTCTAGTCAAGGGATACTATCTGGCAAACTTAGATTTAGGATATTAAAACCTTTAATACCTAATGGCATCCATGATGAACATTTCTATAAATTATAAATTGCTATTGAATACATACAACATAATGCACTTATTTTCTAACTAGTTGTCTTCTTTATTTTTATCAAAAACACAAGCTAAAGTATATAATGGTTCCACAATGCTCTACAGTGTACTCTAGTGTTAGAAAAAGCGGCCCTGGTGGTCTAGTGGCTATACATTGGGCTGGATCCGCTATGTCAGCAGTTTGACTAAACCAGCCATTCCGTGGGAGAAAGATGAGGCTCTCTACCCTCACAAAGAGTTCCGCCTCAGAAGCGCACAGGAGCAGTCCTACTCTGTCCTAGGGTGTTCAGGAGTTGAAGTCGACTTGAGGGTGGTGAGTTTGTGTTTGTTTTTGGTGTTTGTAATAAAAATGAAAACCAAATGCAGAAAACTCAAGGAGAAGAAAACTGGAATAATAGTCTGTCATATCAAATATTCTTTAATATTAGATCTCTATTTACTCAATGTATCCCCAAAAGAAAATTATCAAAGCGTATGCATTTCAAAGAGCTAGACTGTGGTTACACAGTAACAAACCAGTACTGACACCTCTTTCCTTTTAAAAAAGAAAAAAATCAGGGGCTTCAAGAGGTCTTAGAAAAACAGAATTAAAAGATAACAGAATTTTCCCACAACTTTTTGAAGCCTCTTTCCTAAAGCCACTTCATCAACTGAGCAAAAGTATGCTAATTTTCACCTGTCATACCTTTGATCTTCCATCTTTCTGTGACATCAAACCTATTAATATCTCCTACACATCTATCAGTCCATCCCCGAGTTCACACTACTACCTCCACGGACAGCCTCCTCTCTCTCAGTCCTCTTCACTGATCTTTTCCCCTCTATACACTAACTAAGCAGGAAGAAGCACACAATGGCTGGTGGTTACCTTACAGTGAAGGACCACAGAGCCTGCATCCGCAACATGCCTGTAACTCTGAGTAATCATCAGGTAAAGGAAAAGAAAGCACTCATAGATACGGATCAGTCATTATGAACCCATGATCAATGCTGAGGGCTCTCGCCCACAAAGATTTTCATACCTTAAACTGTGACAGAAGCTCATCTGTTGCACTTGTTGATATCTCATTCTCTCTAGTTTCTGCCAAGCGCAAAATTTCATCAATATCCATTTCCTAAAAGAGGAAAATCAACGTAATAGGGGAAAGGCAACAACAGTGATCAGCATCCCTGAAAATGCTTTCTAAAAATAAACCACCTCTCCTTTATGACAGTCCATTTAATTTTAGAACTGCAGCTCTGTATTATTTAATTTTAAAACTTCAAAATATTGCTGATAGAAATGACAGGAAGAAACTTTAGAAAGCAGAGGGGCAATAGTGGAATTTTTTAAAAACAAACAAAACAGAATCTTCATACATTTTCTCATTTTTTCCTATTTGAATGATTAAGAACTCTATGCTCCAAAAGAAAAATGTGAAACCCAAACCTTCTTTCTTTAAAAATGCCTTAACACAAACTCAAAATCTGCCCCAAAAAACTAAAATTTTCATTGACAATCAAAAATAATGTTTCTCCTCATTAATTAATTACCTGAGGCTCTGACTCTTCCCCTTCAAGTTCTTTGAAGAGATCCTCTGCTCCAAATTTCAAAATAGCTGTCAGCTCTTCTTTATTAAAAGGATTCGAGCTATAGAATTAAAAGACAGTTGTAATCTCACGAATGTAAAAACCTCTCTAAGAAGTTCTATTTCATAGTATCTATCCTTCACAAAGGTGTCAAATTATGGGTGAAAACATACATTCTGCCCACAGAAAAATTATTTCTCAAATATTTTCTTTTCTATCCAGATGGTAAGTCTGTGTTTGTAATCCTACCCTAGCAGAAGACAACATAAAATTTAATTCTTTTCCAACTGGTTGGTCTGTGACATGGTTAACACCAAGATAGCCTAGTCGATGTAAAAGAAGGGACTTCTCATTTTTCTCTTTGTCCTTGTCTCAAAAATTAATCATTCTCTAGAATTTTCAATGTTCTCAACTTTGGTACTAAACTTTTCCCATCTAGGGCATAGCTTCCCCTACATATTTGACCTACTGCCCCTTTTTTTCAGGGGGAAAAATTTACTCAGCAACTCCCCTGGCAGCTAAAAACTTTTATACTATTGACAATAACAATCCAAGATAAGGTGCAGACATCTGCTTTTGCAGCCCCTCCATGCCCCCTCCAATTGTTGCAGCATCTTCCAGGGGCAGTATCATCCACTTTGGGAAACAGTGATCTAGGTTCTTCTTGAAAGGAAAAATTGTATGAAAATATTCTATTGAGAAGGAGCTGATCTGAATTCATTTTTAACATAGCTGCAGGACTGACCATAGTAGAAATACTCAATAATCTGCTCAAAATTTAAATTTTACAGGACAAAAGTAATGGATCTTCTGAAAATTATAGAAAGTATACTACTTTCCTTCTATGCTTTTTTTTTATTCCAGTAAGAATAAACAACAAATCCAGAAAACATTGTTACAGGTAGGAAAATAGCATGCCACCTCCATCCAATTCTCAGCGCTAAAGAGTCAAAAGCATCATTTGCCAGGAAAAGTCGTAGGAAATCACAAGGCTCCCTTTGCAGCACCACACACCACACGCAGAAAGTTAAAGAGACAGTGGCAAAGGTACAAGAAAGGAAGGGAAGGAGAGGTGCAGAAAACATGTGCACATGAGGGCGAGGGTTCAGGTACACGCGAGAGCACGTGAGAGAGAGAGAGCAAGGGGAAAGCAAAATAAAATGAAAACAACATCTCCTTATAGTTCTGGCTTGGCCTTGTCCAGGTAATCGATGCCCTCCTGCCTGTATCAGTGCTTATGTGCCACAGAGTGGAGGGGGTCGACCTCGCCCTGACACTTACTTGGACCTCCCAGAGTTGTTTTCCAGGACAGTCCGGCCAGTGGTGTCCATACGCTGAATTACCAGATGGTCCAATACCATCTTCTTTTTGGCTCGTTCTATGATCTCCTCCTCCACAGTCCCCTTTGTAACTAAGCGGTAAATATTTACCTACAGCAAAAGAATTATTATACTAAAATCTGATTTAAAAGAGATTTCCTGACTAAAACTCAGAAAGGAAAACATAAAAAGGACTGGTTATAAATCACAGTATGCTGTCTCTTCAAGAACACAGCGTTAGTAGACGCAATATATTTCACTATCTGCAACAGGTCACACTCTCGTAACAAAGAATCACTATAGCCTTGTTCTAATAATAAAAATACTGGCAAAAATGACTAAGTTTCATTAGTGGAACATTTCATCCAAATTGAATCTTTGTTCAAGTGTGAAAGGTAGGACACTAATTAATGCTAGAGCAGACTATAAGATTCAAATGTAAAAAAGGCAAACATAAAAATACTAAAAGATTTAACAATTCCTCCGTATTAAAGTAAGAAAAAAGTTCACGTAATTCTCATATAGCCATCACAGGATAAACTCATGGAATTACTAGTGGTGCACTTTTCTTTTGCAAGGAGCAAAGAAACAGTTTACCTTAGGGACAGAAGCAATCCCCTCTAAACACTGATAACAAACAGAAATCTCCCTTGGGGAAACAATAGCAAAATAGAAAAAAAATTTGTTTTGTTTTGTTTTAAATCATTTTATCGGGGGCTCATACAACTCATCGCAATCCATACAAACATCAATTGTGTAAAGCACATTTGTACATTCGTTACCCTCATCATTCTCAAAACATTTGCTCTCCACTTAAACCCTTGGCATCAGCTCATTTTTCCCCCTCCTTCCTCACTTCCCCCTCCCTCATGAACCTTTGATAATTTATCAATTATTATTTTGTCATGTCTTACACTGTCCAACGTCTCCCTTCACCGACTTTTCTATTGTCCGTCTCCAGGGAGGAGGTTATATGTAGATCCCTGTAATCGGTTCTCCCTTTCCACCCCACCCTCCCTCCACCCTCGGGGAATCCAGGATGGATGATCCCTTCGGGACCAGTGGCGAGAGTGGGAAAAAAACATTTCGTAAACATCAGAAAAGGGCTGACTTCTCCACCAGGTTGAAGCACATCCAGAAGTTCCTCCACACTCACCTGCTTCTTCTGACCAATTCTATGGGCTCGGGCTTGTGCCTGCAAGTCATTCTGAGGGTTCCAATCAGAGTCAAAAATGACAACTGTGTCCGCTGAAGCCAAGTTGATTCCCAGGCCACCAGCCCTTGTCGAGAGCAGGAAACAGAAGTCCTGTACACAATGCAATAGACTACTTTATGCAGTGGCCTTCTCTGAGACCGTTTCACAGTCCAATTAGCCCTGACACTTGGAAAACCCTGCAGGTGTGAAGGAAAGTGAGATATGACGGACAAACTTTATGGAAGCCAGAAAATATGGCAGGGACTCAGTGGCAGATTATGTTTTTATTTAAGAGGAGAGAATCAGTGCAGTAAACTAGGGCACAGAGTAGAGCCTAGGAAAGTTGTGGCAACAAAGAAATTAGTAATTATCTCTGGCTGGAACTAGTACATAAGAAGTTAACAAGAAAACAAACTGAATTAATAAGGGGAGGAATTGTTCCAGCAAGGTCCTCAGGACGTTTATGTTCTGGGTGAAGGAGGGGTATGCCAAGTAAAAGAGTCAGTATATACAAGGTGGCTGTGTTGTTCTATGTAAACATCCATCCATCTGTTTGTCAGTCTAGTGAGGAGAAAAGCTTACATGTTGGCAATGCCGAGAAGCATCGATCCTCAGCATGCAAAAAGGAAACCAGAGGAGGTTTAGCAAAAAAAACCCATGTGTGTAAAATACCGAGGCACTGACTTATCCAAATAGAGGCAGGGCAGGCATACATCCCCTTTCCTGTGTCTGAGTAAGCAGGAAGATATGGAGTCGAGGAAAAGAATAAACTGCATGTGACAGAAAAAAGTGAACAAGTCAGTAAGATTTCCAATGACAGAGAACGTGATTGTGTATATTAAAGTCCTGCCACTCTTCTGTCACATAAGCAGCAGCACTCAAAGCCTGGTGTGCTTTGGTCTAACCTCAAAGGTATGTTTGATGGCCATTTCTAAATGGAGTGAAAAGGTCTCAATAACTAACAGTCACATTCAAAAATATAAAGCTACAGAAAAGCATAAAGTCCACAATCATTAAGGTAACGAAATAAAAACCAGAGTTATTTCAGGGAGTTAAAACAACACCAATGAAAAATAATTATCCAAATATCCACAAGACGTCTTCTAGCACTAATAGAGGACTTTAGCAAAGTTTCAGGGGACAAAGTCAAAGATCAACCAACAAAAATAATTTGATTTTTTAATACATCCCAAATTATAAAGTTAAGTGGGAAATTAGGGAAACAATTTACTTAAGAATAAATTTAACCAGGGACATAAATGATATATACAATCAAAATTACAAAATACTGATGAAAAAAAACAAATAAGATTTAAGTAAAAGGGAAGCTGTTTCAAATTCATTTTTTTTTTATTTTATAGGAAGATTTAATATTGTTAAAGTGTCAATACAACTCATCCCAAAGTGACCTATAGATTCCACACAATCCTGATCAAAATTCTAGTAGCCTTCTTGACAGGAATAGTCCAACCAATCCTCAACTTTATATGGAAAAGCAAGAGGACTCGAATACCCAAGCCTATGTTGAAAGAAAGAAACAAAGAACACTTTCTGGTTTAAAAACATACTATACAGCTACAGTAATCAAACCAGTAACAGTATAACCTACACATTTATTGTCAACTGACTTTCTTCTTTGGTCTTCCTTCTTCATTGTCCCACTTCATATGCATATGAAGTGACGAGTCTTTGATGTGACATCTTTTCAACATATTACAGAAATCTTTTGTAGCAGATTTGTCTAATGCAATTTCTCACTTGATTTCCTGACTGCTGCTTCCATGGCCAATGATTGTGGACCCCAGTAAGAACTATCATATGAAATAGCAATTTCACGCCAAGGCATACACCCAAAGGACTTGAAGCAGAGACTCAAAAAGAGAATGGTCATTGCAGCCCAATTCACAATGGCCAAATGATGGGAAGCAACCTGTATGCCCATCAACAGATGACTCGGTCAACAAAATGCAATGACTGTTAACAGTGGAATAATACCCATACACTAAGAGAAATGAAGTGTTGGGGCATGCCGCAACATGTACGGAGCTTAAAAACAGCCTGAGTGAAGTAAGTTATTCACTAAAGGACAGATATTTTATTACTTCACTTACATAAAAAGGCAAGAGAAGGGAAATGCAAGGAGAACAAAGATTACTAGGGCCTACCCGGCCAGGAGGAAGGAAGATAAGGAGGGCTTACTGTGATGGAGAATTCAAAAATTAAGGTTAGGTATGCACTGCCCATTATTTGTAACTGGTGTCAATAAATTTTACACCTGTGAAAATTTCAATTGCGACCAGTTATGTTACAGGTATATGTATTTACAACAATGGGAAAAAACAACAACAAGCAAAACCCAGAAAGCAGATGCTGGGGTTGTTTATATATGAGCATCTCGTTGAATTCGGGTCCTTGATTTGGAGGTTTCAGGCCATGGTTTCATGGGACATCCCTGTTAACTCTTCTAATGATATGTTTAGTGCTTCTGCCCTACCTCCTAGTTCACTGCATACTTCCTGAAGTCTTAAAGGCTTGCAACAGACTATCCAAGGTAAAATAATGCCTATTTACCTATGACAACAGAAAAAGAAAAGTCAGAGATGGGAGGAGAAAATGGAATGTGTGGCTAATATCCTCCACAAACATACTGCTTCCTCTTCTATGAGACCAGAAAAACTGGATGGAGCCTGGCTATTATTACTAAACATTTTCATCAGACTCAACAGAGGAAACCCAAACAAACAGATGTGCAGAACAAAATTTCAAATTCTCATAGACTCTAGACTTTCTGGAGTCTCGGAGGCAAATGAACCCATGAGATTATTACCTTAAAATAATCTTTAAACCTTATTACAAAAACATCCTCTGCAGTCTTCTTCGAGCCAATCTTCACAGTCTACCTTAACAAGTAAAAAAGGGTCTGCCTTGACCATTATGCTCTTTTAAGAATTATCTACATGGGATCAAAATAATTAGGTAGGTAACTTAAGTGACAATCAATCAATGTTAATGAGGGAAGAGCCACTTAGAAAAGGAGGATGAGGATTGATGGCACAACTCAAAAAAATTCAATCAGTGTCCCTAAATTATATCTGTCGAAACTGCTGAACTGGTGCATATTTACCATCCATATTTCCAACAAGCTTTTTGTAAAATCTCACTTAATTTGCATAGAAACTGTCAAATGAGAACATGACTGGTTATACTAAAACATAATGAATTTTACTTATTATTTGTACTAAATACTGATCAGCAGGTGGGTCTGTTAACCTTTGGTTAAAAACACCAAGCAGTAACACACGTTGACTAAGACCCTGAAGAAGCCTACAAGTAAGGTAATAGGTACTGCTGGAAGAGGTTCCAAAAACTTAACATAGCATCTGCAAACCGAAAAATAATAAAGATAAATGACACTCCTCATCAAAGATAATATGAATTACAAATTCTCATTTTTGTCTATTATCAAAGATTTTTACATTATGAAACTCATTAATACTAAGGGTAGACTAAAATGGAAATACTCATCCACAAATGATATTAGTATAAGTTATCTGGAAAATTCAGCAAGATACTTCAAGCATCTTGATAAAATGCACATACTCCATTAAATAAGCATTCACAAAAAATTAAATGATTAAGTGCACAATGGCACAGGTTGAGAATTTGAAAACCTTTGATAACAAGGAAAAAGATGTTTAATATACAATTTAAAATGAAAAGACATACAAAACTCTAAATAGCTTGATCTCAGTATGAATGGAAACAACCTAAATAATGTTACCAGCAAATTGTCTTGGGGATGGGGATTATATACAATTTTTCTTTTACTTTCGTCCCCTCCAAATTTTTTAATGAGCATTTAAAATATAATCTCCCTGATTAAGTCTATTCTAATTGAAAACTGATGTAGGTTTTCAGAAAATGGTAGAAAAATCTATGTTCTATCTGTATCCAATCTAAAGTAAGAGGGTCATCGATTGAAGCTAGAGAAAATGAAATTCTAAGTTTTTTTAAAACATGCTCAGCATTATCACAAGCTGAAAGAAATTATGAAAAAAGAAATCAAATCCCTAGTTGTAATACTGAAGGATTCTATGGACAAAATATTGAATAAAGATAGAAGGATGTACAGATTACAGTACCGAAAAAGAACTGGTTAAAACACTCAGCTATTTCAAGAATATTTAAAGTACCAGGAGCTTCTAGAAAGACAAATCTGCATTGAAGAAGTACAGCCACAATTCCCCTCAGAAATGAGGGCAGAGATTCCATCTCATGGACTTTGGACATGTTACCAGGAAAGGCCAGTCCCTGGAAAAGGACATCATGCTAAGAAAAGTAGAGGGTCAGGAAAAAAAGAGAAAGACCCTAAAGGAGATGGAATGGCACGGTGGCTGCAATGAGGAGCTCAAACAATGAATGTGAGGATAGAGCACAACTGGGCAGTGTTTCATTCTGCTGTGTACAGGGGTAGCTATGAAACGGGACTGGACAACACAACAAAACAAGGTTTTTTCCAAGAAAAGAACATATAAACACTGATTTTAAGAATGATACTCATACTAGTTTCTACATTAAAAGTAGGAAATACAAAACCAAATTTTTTTAAATAATGAAAAGGATAAATTAGGAAATATTTATTGAGTATGTATCTGCTAGGGATTTAACCCTTACAGCAATTTTATAAAATATGTACTAGTTATGATTTTACAGCTGAAGAAATTGAGAAATGAGGGAAAGGAGAAATGGAAATTACATGGTGATTGTTTTTAGTAATTCAATTCCTTATACTGTTAGCCAGTCCTATCCTTGTTTCTAAATAGCTTAGTGTCCAAAGCCCCTCAAGAAGAACTAAAATTCTAGGCAAATGCAGGAGCAAGAATTGTATAGTATAAATAAGATTATCTTGTGGGTCTAGAAGCAGAAGGGATTACCATCTGAAGTAACAGACACGAACAAAAAAAGTTTGTTACATATCTTTGGAAAGTAGGGAGCCAAGTCTGTTTTAGCTATACAAAACAGGGGCCTGGGTTCTGGAAATTCTAACATTTTCTATGAAACACTTCTAGTTCTATTTCTGGGTCCCTCTATTTTATCTACATTAAATCTCTTCTCTTCCACTTCTCTCCAGTCCTATGGCTCTTAATACTTTGATTTGCACAAACTACCTATCAAACTATGCCCTGGGGGCATAGTGGTTACTCATTGGACTGCTAATCCAAAGGTCAGAAGTTCAAAACCACCTAGACCTCTCTGCTTGAGAAAGGCAGGCTTTCTACTCTAGTAAAGATTTACAGTCTGGGAAACCCACAAGAACAGTTGACCCTGTCCTATCGAGTCACTAAGAGAATCAACTCAGTGGCAATGAGTTTGGTTTGGTATGTACAAACTGTAATGTTATCATAGTTTCTGATTTGTCGTTAGTAATTCTTCAATAGATGCATCAAACCAAAATTATTTAAAATGCCAACTCTAAACAAGACACTTACTGACAGAAAAAGGTTATTAGCCAAAGCAAGAATCTTCAATGACATCAAATTAAGAGCACATCAAATAAGATACGGCACCTGCACTTTTCTAGAACCAGTCACCAAAAAGTGTAAATTCAGAATCTTCTTTGTTATATAACATGTCAAAATTCACCCTACTGGACAGCTCTCCCTGACTCCCCATCCTTCCCTTGCTGCTCTCCCAAGAACAGAAATCTGGTAGCTGGAAACCGGCAAGAGAACACGCAGCTGATACCAAAAACTACTCTTTCATTCATCAAGCATAGTAAGATAAGCAAGCATGTGTGTGCCTTCTGAGGAAGCAAACAAGTTAACAAGCATCCTCTACATGAGGTATTTCTCATCCCCTTCTCAAGGTAGAGGAACTGCATTAATACATTGTTTCAGAAACAGAAGGCACTAAGCTGGTAAAACTTTCCCCTTTCTAGAGAGCCCAAACTGCCCCCCGCCCCAAACAAAGCCGTGCATAGTATACCTCTGACCCGTCTGCATTGAAGTGATCCAGTGCCTGCTTTCGGATCTCTCCCTTGATGGAACCATCCAGACGCTATACAAATATACAAGAAAATCATAAGGTATTAAGGTCAGCTATACCAGAATAGAACAGACTTGCAAGCTTTTATCACCCCACACACTCTGAGTAAAAATAACCGGAATGCACTGGTGAAGGGCTGTGCCTACAGCACACCCTACCTGACAAGCTCTCCAGTTACAGACTCAAGGTCAGAAGTTTAGGCTCCAAAGGGTTGTCTTGGGTTTTTGCCCACGGATCAGAATGACGTTAAGGGCCCATAGGGAGAAAGAAATCAGCCCAATCTTTGCCTAGAAACTTTGCTTGCTTCCACATCTGTAGACACTTAATAATGAGGTCCTGAAGGAAAATGACTGCACAGCAAATGTGGCTGACATTATCAGGGATATGAAGTTATTAAGTTCCACATAAAAAATCATTGTTTGGGAGACATTTTCCTGCCATATTAAAAATGTTGATTACATATTCTACCTCTCCCAGAGATTACCCTGGGAAATCAGAACAAAGTGTACTGACAAATTCTATTCGGGTAGGCAAACTACATCTTCCCCAGAGCCTCTGAAATTTGGTAGCCACATCTAATTCTGTTAAGAGAGCAGGTCATATGTCAAATGTTGAAGACTTACTAATCCTATGTGCCTTACATATAAAGGATTTCTCCTTACTACAATCATTTTCACATTTCCTCCCCTCATAATTAACAATCAAAATAGCTCATTTTGCAGAGGTAACACAACTGAGAAAAGCCATTATTTGGCCAAGGATCAATAACTGGTTGGTAGCAGAGTCAGGAAAGACTAGTTAAGGCCAGCCCAAGGCTTCTCTCCACCAGAAACCCAGAGGGCTGAAAGCAAATGCCTTTAGCTTGGACTTCGTCCTTCAGTGCCATCAGTCACTGATCATATACATCCCTTGAAATGGGGGGATGTCAACTAGTTCTTTTTGGTAAAGTGACTCTGTGTATTCTCTCCCATCTTCTTTTCATGCTTCCTCCATCTTGAATATTTTGCATGTTGTTATTCTTGTTGTTGGGTGCTATCTAGGCAACTCTGACCCATAGTAACCCTATGCACAACAGAAAAAAACACTGCCTGCCCAAGTTATCAGCCTCCTGGTTGCTCCACTGCTCAAGATCACTGATACAGCCATTGTGTTAACCCAGCTCGTGGAGGGCCTTCCTCTTTTTCACTTCCTTCCACTTTGTCAAGCATGACGTCGTTCTCTAGGGTCTGGTCTCTCCTGACAATATGTCCAAGTATACAAGGTGACATCTTGCCATCTTCGCCTTTAAGGAGCACTGTGGGCTTACATCTTCCAACAGATTAGTTTGACCTTTCAGCAGGTCATGGTATTCTTCTCCGGCATCACAATTCAAATGCAACAGTTCTTCTTCAGTTTTCTTTATTCAGTGTCCAACATTGACATGCACTATGAGGCAATGGAGAAAGCCATGGCTTGGGTCAGGCCCACCTTATTCCTCAAAGGAACATCCTTCCTCTTCAATACTCTAGAGAAGTCTCGTACAGCAGATTGACTTAATGCAATGCATCTTTTGATGCTGCTTTCATGAGCATTTGATTGTGGATCCACACAAGACAAAATCCTTGACAACTTCAATCTTTTCTCCATTTATCATGTTACCTACTAGCCTACTTAGAATTTTCGTCTTCTTTAAATTGAATTGCAATCCACACTGAAAGCTACAATCTTTGATCTTCATCAGCAAATGCTTCAAGTCTTCCTCACTTTCAGCAAGCAAGGTTGTGTCATCTGCATACCGCAAGTTGTTAAGAACTGTCCTCAAATCCTGATGCCACATTCTTCTTCATATATTCCATCTTCTCGGCTTGCTTGCTCAGCAAACAGACTCAAACAGTATGGTGAGCAGATAGAACCCTGATGCACACCTTTCCTAATTTTACGCCATGCAGCATTCATTCCCTTGTTCTGATTGCACAGCTGCCTCATGACCTATGTATAAATCCTGAATGAGCACGATCAAGTGTTCTGGAATTCCCATTCTTCTCAAGGTTATCCAGTTTATTATGGTCTACATAGTTGAATGCCTTTTCCAAATCAATAAAAGGCAAAAAAAACACCTTCTTTCTGGTATTCTCTGCTTTGAGTCAAGATCCATCTGACATCAGCAATGATACCCATTCTTCCAAATCTTCTTCAGAATCTGGCCTGAACTTCTGGCAGTTCTCGGTTAATGTACTGCTGCAACCATTGTTAGATGACCTTCTGTAAAATCTTACTTGCATGCAATATCAAAGATATCATTCATTCTATAGTTTCAGCACTCTGTTCAGTCATGTTTCTTTGGAATGGGCACAAATATGGATCTGTTCCAGTCAGCTGGCCAAGTAGCTCTCTTCCAAATTTGCAGGCATAGAAGAGTGAGTGCTTCCAGTGCTTCTTTGGTTTGCATAAGCATTTCAATTAGTATTCCATCATTTTCTAGAGCCTTTGCTTTAGGCTAATGCATTCCGCGCAGTTCTAACTTCCTAATGCACCACTGGTTCCTGCTCATGAGCTATGACAGGCACGGCTCATGTGCTCTTGAAATGGTGGAAGGCTGACTAGTTCTTTGTGGTACACGGGCTCTGTGTATTCCTTCCATCTTCTCTTGATACTTCCTGTGTCATTCAGTATTTTCTCCACAGAATCTTTCGAGATTTCAAATCGAGCCTTGAATTTTTTTAGTTTTCTCAGTTTCAGATATGCTGAACAAGCTCTTCCCTTTTGGTTTTCTAATTCTATGTCTGCACATTTCCTGACATTTGGCTTTGTCTTCTTGGACTGATGCCCTCTGGAATTTTCTATTCAGCTCTGTGACTTCACCTTTCTCCCACTGACTTTAGCTATTCTACGACTAATAGTTCGTGTCTTCTGACATCCACTTTGAAGTTTTGTTTCTTTCTTTTTACAAAACAACCTTATCACCTTCAAAATACACTCCATTACACTTAATACATTTGTCAAATCTAGAATTTCATTCTT